TAAGCAGCACTCGCATTTCATTTTCACAAAATTGTGGTTTTTTTCCATATTGACTTTTTGCGCCATTTCCAGAGTAAGCATAGACATCATTGGCTTCAGATGGGCTAAACTTAATCTAACCATCATGAGTAACTCTTGCAAACTCTCATCAGTTATGAAAGTAGCATATTTTTCGCAAAAAAATAAGGATTTCATATGACGACGGAGCCTTCGAATAACAGCCTTAAATGGCTTATCTTTATCATTTTCATGTGACATTTTTGCAGATATCACAGGTATAAGAGCCAGGTTCATTTAGTTCATAGGTCCCAGTCCTAAGTTTGAGGAAAATTGCTCTAATTATAGGGGAGAGTGATTCTCTTCCTAATAAAAACAAGATATTTATAATAATCCAGCTCGTTATGCTTCTGATTTTTTTTCCCTTCCTAAGATGGCTATTTCTTAAAATTCTTCCCCAAAACGCGTTTAATCTAAATCCTGAATAACAAAGTGTTCTTAGCATTCGAACACAATAACAAATAGCGAATTACACATTTGGAAGCATCCTAATCCAATAAGATTATATAATTCTCAGGATTTATTTTCAGTGGGATTGCGTGTCCGGAGAAGCAGAGGCCGCCCAGGAGGAGAAAGTGAAGCAAGGATTCTCATAGCAAATAGGTAAAATGGAAGAAAGGCAATTCTCATCGGCACAGACGAATGAAGCTTACAGAGCTCAAGGGGAAAGTGAGTCAGTGAACCATATTGCTGAAGAAATCGTCCAACCGGAAAATCCCTTCTCAGACCGACGGATACTTTCTGAAATTGATGACTAGAGAATCACCATTCGACAACCATCGAGAGATGTTAAGCGAACCGGTGATCTCAAGATAAAGTTATTCTAAAGATATATTCAGTGAATCCTGCGGTATTGGTATGAATCTTATGCGTCCAATGTTCTGCTAATTCTCTTCATAAGATTTTCCTCAAGATATATTAATGAATCCTACGGAATTAGTATGAATCTTTTACGTCTAACTAGATAACTTTTTCCATTTCATTCAGAAAGTTTTTACGCCTCTTTTCGGATTTATGAGTACCGTAGTTTTATCTACCTACTAATAGTGTTTGCTATTATTATGGTAGGCGGGTATCCTAAGTTAAAAAATAAAATTTATACTGAATTGACCTGTAAAAAGTATTCTTTATTTACTTATGCGTCATAGAACTTTTCTTCTTTTTTACTAGTTTCCGCAAATTATGCATTCTACGAAAGCAATATAAATAATAAGTCACACTTTCAGAACAACCCATAAATGCTAGCGATGTGTATTTCCATCGTAAGTTTAAAATCTAATATCTCTTAATGCATTTTTTTACCTAAATTACTTTGTTTCTGAAAGCAGCTAAATGCTTTGACAGTTTATTTCTTTATGTGCGACGATTTCAAATCTTGGCTCGCTTTCTAAGAGCAATTTCATTTTGGTGGGTATTTGAAATGATATATTTTTGTAAGCAGATTTGTAGAACTCAAGGAGTAATTGCTCATAAAGACGTAAGATACGATTTTTTTTTTTTTTTTTTTAAATTTTTTTTTAAAAAAAAGGTATTTTTTCCACTACTGCCCCTATTTTATGGTTGATTTCAAACATTTTTTATTAATATTAGAAATGCATACATTTAAGGGTATTAGTAGTAGTTCGTACCCTTGTACCAGTAAAAATTGGTTTTAAATCATATATTTTTCTAAAATAATTCAAGAAAACCAGATTGAGAAGACGCAGGTTCTATTCCAGGTGACGACTGGCTTCAGTTTTCATATGTTAATGCTAAAAAAGGTTTCATTCTTTCTATTTAAAGTATGAAATCGCAGAGAAATTACTACTCATTAAATTATTTAAAATTTAATTATCGATTTTGAATTATTATTTTTTTTTGTCAGCTAAATAGAAGATTACGAAACGTAATAATCGCTAAAAAAAAAGAAGATAAATGTACCTTAAAAGTCAAAATTTTTACAAAATTAATAATAAAAAAAATTATTTCGAAAGTTTAAAAAATGATTTTTTTTTCTTATTAACACCAATACCGTAAGCGTTATGCAAAAATCTTATACAGTTGCTTGTTTCTCCATTTTTAATTTTATACCCATGCAGTAGTTTTGAGATAACTTATTCCTCTGTATATTTGTAAAATTGAATCCAATTCAGAAGACAACGAAAATTTTTTTTTTTTTTAAGAATAAACTAACCAGCATCGGCCTAACATATTCAGAAATCTAACAAAAATCTCCTATGCCCAATCTCAATGGAACTAACTCGTGCTCTATTTCCTATGGGAAATAATAATTTATGTCAGCACTATTATCTATTCATATTTCGTGTAGCATACAAATCAACTAGCTACTAATAGTTTATATAAAATAATATAAACTATTTACAAAAACAATTCATTAAAGAAAATCCAGTAATTTAATACAATAAAATATACAAAACTGTTATTTCTTCCTTTTTAAAATGTTTTTCTTCCTTATTTGACAAAAGCAGAACAGCAAAATAATTAGAGAGGGTTTTAAAACTGCATTTTTACTTTTAAAATGGCATTTTTCTCTATTCACATTTGCCAATAAAAAAAAATCTAACAAAATAAACTTTTCAGAAACACTTCTGAATTTTGTTTTGCTTCTCCTGTATTATTGTAAATATTCAACTTAAATTAACATGTATGTAGCAAAATTAACCTATACAAAGTATGTGAAAATTGTACAAAAAACTTTACGGTATTTACAATATGAATTTTATTAAGTGATATTTAAGAAAAATGGAATAAATCCTTATAATATGAAAGATCAGATCTAAAATAAGAAAATCTTTCCAAAAAAAAAAAAAACGTTCTAAGCCTTGTTCTGTTAATTCAGTTTTATAATTTGGATTTAAAAAAAAAAAAGTAAGTTGAAAGATAAATAGCTCTGCTCAAGAAACAACACATTATGCACAAAGGAAATCAGAAGGAAAAAAATTATAAGAAGGGTGAATTTGCAGTAGATAACAGTAAAATTAGACTTTCCATTTCAAAGAGAAAAATTAATCTTCACATGCTGTGATAACTACCAGCACCAACTACTGTGCTGGTGAGTTTCTGCTACCAGTTTTTTTTTTGTAGAAAAATAATGAAATGTAGGCTTACTTTATTAAATATTGTATGATTAGCATTACCCAGCTTGAATTCTGACAATAACTGCTCCAGGTTTACAAAAACACAGTGTTGACATAGAATATTCTCACTTGTAGACTGAATCATGGGATAGACTGTTCCCTTTGTTCTAGGGCTAATCATAAAAGGCTTTCTTGCTATGAAAAGCAATTGAGGGTTACTTCTATTAAAAAAATAATAATAATTTACAATGCTTGAACTAAGTTAACTTGTCTTCTGGGTTGGGTTCAAAATTACAAGCCAACAAGGTTGATAATTAATAGATGCAATTCAAATAAGGCTAACCATTTATGAACTGTTCATAAAGTTTAGATAAACTACCTACTTAACTTAGTTATAGTCTTTTCAATTCAAAAACTCATACTTTCAGTACATTTAATGTAGTAACTAATATTTAATTAATGTATTTTCAAGATATTCTTTTCATGCAGGGATTCGACACTTTGCAATCAATGAATGTAGGGTGTTTCAAATTAATATATTTTGTATTAAAGTATCTCAGTTTGAGGTGTGATGCAGAAACAACCAATGATCATACATGAAATTGGTATTAATTGTAACATAAAATCTTGATAACAATACATTTATTTTGTTGATTTCAAGGGCCTGGAATCAATTCAGCATATAAACAGCTAAAAAAATTTGGTGAATTTTGAAAAATAACTGATATTTTATGCAACTATTGCATAATGTTTAAAACATTATTCTCATAGAGAACAACTTTAGAGATTTTAATATTTAGTTAAAGGAAATAACAAAAAAGAAATTAAAATGAAAGATTTCATGCAAACTATTGCATAAAGTTTAAAGTATTATTCATATAGAAGACAACTTTAGAGGTTTCAATAATTAGTAAAAGGAAATAACAAAAAAGAAATAAATAAAATAAGAGATTTTATGCAAACTATTGTGCTACTTTTAACATATTTCACACAAAAAGAATTTTAGGAATTTTTTATAATCAGAAATGGAAACAATATTAAATTGGATGCATTTTCCTCTAAGCCTTTGACGCAGATGAGACACTGGTATTCCTTATATATTTTAAATGTTCTAAATACAAGTAAAAATATATTTTGGTATTTTTTAGTTTGAAAAAAATCTAATAGTTGCTTAAAAAAACAGATTATTCGAATTACATTTGTACTAAAATATAAAATAAAGTAGAAATTTTTTTTTTTGTATTCATGCTTAAAAATTTATCAATAATTGATTTTATAAATTAAAGAAATTACAGCGATGCATTAATGTTTTTTGTTCAACTAAATAACTGCAAATTTGAAAAATTATAATTTGGAAGTGAGCTGTGTTTAGAAAATTTTACTTTTAATGCAGATAAAAAAAAATACTGGTGTTTTATGCAGTATTTCATGATCGAAAAATTATTAAAATGCTAAATATAATACTTTTTGCTTATTTTGACTAAAATTAATACAAAAAAAGATGAAAAAACTATGAAATATATGTTTAATAAAAATTCTGAATCAAAGGGTTAATGATATCCAAATAAAATTTTAATTTTTTATCGATATTTTTTCACAAAATTATCATTTTGTATTACTTTTACTACGCCCAATCAGCTTCAGAGCAATGGTACCAGCTGGTTTGGAAAATAAAAGCTAACCATCCTGATATCGCCCATTAAATTGTACACCCTTAACTTTCATTGATCTCTCTGGCCCAAAATTCAATGTTGCAGGAATGCTTTACTTTATATTAAATTTACATACATTATTTTCATCATCATTTTTTATATCTAGCTACGATAAAAATAAAATAAAAAATGACTCATAATTAAACAAGGTAGAAACAATAAACATCCTTTTATTTTCTTAATCACATCCATAGTTCGATTGATACCTTTCGCTCTTGAATATAATATATAATAGTCTTTATGTTCCTTCAATAAGCTCATCGAAAGACAAAAAATAAGCTCTTGAGTAAATAGAGGATTATACAAGACTAGAAAAACATCAAAGTAGAAGACGGAATAGATTGATTTCAGATCTTGAAAATAATTTCAGTGTTAGTCTCATAATCTCTCCTAACAGCTAATTTGAGCAATAGTAAATTTTACAAGACTAGAAAAAAATATCACAAATTGGAAGAGAGAATGTGATTCAGATCTTGTATACAGCTTTGGTATTTTGTCTTGTTTTATACAATACGAGTTCCAGAGGTATTCCTTCTTTTAGTGCAGCTACTTGGGCAGCAACATGGATAGCCATACCTGGGTGAGAGTTTCTTAGGTTTGAAGGATGCCTGGTCAACTAAACAAAGAAAATTATAAGCATATTAATAATTTCTATTTAATATTCAGTTTTAACACAATACAAATTTAAAACTGCATATCTTAAAATAAATACTAACTGATTAGGCTATATTTTTAATCTATGAATAGATTTGAAAGAAAAAAAGTTACACAAATAATTAAATGTTGTAAGACACTTGAGCAAAATGTTGACAGTTTAAAAATAAGTAAATTTGGAATAGATAGGATTAATTCAAATTTAATACGAGAATATATTGCAGGGTAATTGTGATACTAAGTATAAAAAAAACTGAAAATTTCGTGTGCAAAAAATTTATATGAAGATATCAATTTATATACCATACATGTTTCATATTTAACATAATTTTTTGAACTAGCATTTATAATTAAATCACCTACTAACGAAGAATATCACCCCTTTACAGTAACTAAATCAAGAAAAAACTTACTTTTTCAAGAATTGCGATATTGGATTTTAAAATCATGAATAGGAATCGTGGTGTTTGATTTTTAGATTGCATGAATACGAACTGCAAGCAGTAGCTTTTAAATCAGGTAAATACAAAAACTAATGTTTGATATTAAAATCACGCGAATAAAAATTGCAATATTAGAAGATTTTGGCACAGTACCAAATATTCTAATTGGCCAAAAAATGCCAAACCAAAAGAATCAAATTGGAGGAAGAATCACGTGCATGTAAACGCCTTGTTAATTAAAAGTGTCAAAATTTTGTCTGATTATAAGTTTTTGAATCGTGGAAGTCTGTAAACTAATGATCTTGAGATATGCGGAATTCTGCGTTATTCACGGAAAAATCGAATGCCTTGCTTCAATTTTTAGATCTGGAAGAATGATATGAAAAACCCGGAATACAATCCCCCTGACATTCGTAAAAAAAAAATTACATGAAATTCTTAAAAAGAATCAATAACTTAAAATTGTCAGTTTTATTTTCATTCAAAGGTCATGTTTATCATTTTATTTTACAATGCGTCAAAACATAGAAGCAAATTGAGCTTTTTTAGGTCTTCAATCAATATTAATAAGACTTTGATTAATAGTATAGTTAAAAGGATAGTTACACAAATAATTAAATCTTGCAAGACATTTGAGAACTTTGAACAATATTTTGACAATTTAAAAAATAAACACATACTGAATAGATGGGATTAGTTTAATTTAAATACAAGAATATATTGGTAAAAAATATTACATCAAATTCTTAAAAGGAAAAAAATCTTAATATTATTGTCAGTTTTATTTTTATTCACAGGGTGCAAGCTAAATTATTCAACAAAAAATAAGCACCTTTTAAGCACTTTTCAAGCACTCAAAAAATACTTTTAAGCACTTTAAAAAAATATCATAACTAGGTAGGGTTGGAAAGTTTTTGAGAATTTACGGTTTTATCTTGCTTTAACCATCATGTCAAAAGAAAACACTTGCGGAATTGTTTTTGACAATTGTCAAAAATCATGAAATTTTGAATCATGTTAAACGAGTGTTGTTTTTATACGCTACGAACTGACAATAAGCCGAAATAGTTTGGGGTTGAATTAATTGTGAAAACATTGAATCAATCAATGTGAACTGTGTCTTTTTGCATAATTTGAAGCAAAAATCAACACAGTATAGGAAAAATCTTATTTTGTAAACGATAAAATTAAGCACTTTTTAAGAACACCCAATGATACACCTTTAAGCGCTTCTAAAAAACGAAAATAAGCACCTTTAAGCACTTTTTAAAAACGCTATGCATCCTGATTCAAACTTTATGCCTATCTTTTTATTTTACAACATGTCAAAACATAAAAGCAAATTGAGTTTTTTCAAATATTAAATCTTGGATCATAATTAATGGGACTTTACTTGTCCTTGCATAAACATTGTGCAAAATTTTAGAACTGAATAACCAATTCTGAACATGTAAGAAACACAATAAACTTACTGGTTTAGGAATAAAATAGGGAGTATCTGTTTCAAGTAAAAGACGACTTAAAGGAATCTTCTTTGCAACTTCATGTACTTCTGCAGCAGATGGAAAAGTAACAAGATTAGTAAGACCAATATAAAGATTGGGAAATTCTTCCAACCATTTTTGTGCTATTTCCCAGGTATCAGTAAAACAATGCAAATGGATAAAATAATTCTTGGGAACCATCTGTTTAAACATTTAGAATCAATTAGTATTACATATACAAACTGAATTTCATGATATTCATATTTTATTATAAACAATAAAACATTAAAGCAAAGAGAAAGAGATTTCTCTATGAAACTTTTAAAAATAGAATTTTACTTTATACATATTTCCACAGAAAACAAACATTTTTATAAAAATATAAACTCAATAAATATACACAGAAAGCTCTAAGCCTTTGCCAACTTTAGATGACAATTTCTCAAATAAGCTTCCGCTCTTTAAGTCTTCTTTAACTTCAATTTTTATTCAAAATACTCCAAAATTTATCAAGCAATGTAAGCAATAGTTAAAAATGCTGTCTTTATTTTATTTTATAACCCAGCACTGAACAGCTGACCCAATTATGAGTTTATGACTATCAATGTTCAATTTAATAACCTTATGAATTTGAACCCAATCCAAAAGATAAGGGAACTCATGGATCACATATTGGAAGAAATTAGCCTTCGTGGAGAACTTTTTGATGGAACTAACATTTACATTACATGTATAAAAAAACTACGAAAATCTCCCGCGGTTAGCCTGATGGCAAGGAGACTCTAACCCATGAAACATCTAAAATGGAGGATATTTTATACCAACACTGTGATCAGTGTGAGTTTGGTGCGGAGTTCGTATCAACCAGTCATCGCTGGGATTCTAATCCGGTTCACCTCATTGGAAGGCAAACACTCTATCCCCTGAGTTACCACAGCTATGCTGCTTTTATTGTGGAAAAAGTTTAGATTGCAAACTTGTAGAAAGGGATTATTTTCAGCATATGTATCATATTATTATGTGTATCATCATTCTTTACTAATGCGTACATTATCACAAAAACCAATAAAATTTCCTTTATGTTGATATTGAAAAGCTAAATTAAACTGATCTGTAACTTGAGCAGAAATGAAGGGGAAGTAAACAGTTCAAAAAGTGAAAGGCTCAAAATTAACGGTTATCTGTTTGACTGCAACCACTAAAATTTGTCTTGGACTGCTATAAAACAAATTATCAGCAGTTTTCAGGAACAGCAATCAATATATATAAAGTGTTAGACTTAGAGGTTGGGCAGCTCTGACAAGCAGGGCACATTGACCAGAGGTCTATTGTACCCAAACACTAAAATCATGATTAGCATGAAAGCCCTATGGCTGAAATAAAATTCAGCAAGCACCTTACAGGAACATCTTGCAGTTCCCAGGCATTGACAATATGCTGTCCTAAATGCTCAAATCTTTGAGCAGAATAGACCTCACAATCACAGAGTATGTGTCGTGATGTCTCTTCTTCTAGATGACATCCCCGACAAAGAGAATTTGATTCAATTCCCATAATGTTTAGGTGTCTTCTGAGGATACAGTGACCAGTAAGAAGACCAATGATCTTCCTTATACTGTTTCTGTTAAGCTTTAAGAGCTCCTTTTGACGTACACTAGGACAGTCTCGATTCAGCTCCTTAGCTTGTCTTTGACCGTCAGCAGCGCGCCACTGCTCATGGGCGATCTTGCCGTAGAGCTTGAATATGGTTGCCCTAAATGAGGAGGGAGAAATTCCCAGCGCAGGTTCAGGGCCCCAGAAAATTGCATTAGAGCCAGCCCGTGCTGCTTCGTCAGCTAGCTCATTTCCACCGATACCCATATGTCCTGGTACCCAATGCAGGGATACCTTGTTATGAGTGGACAGGTCACAGAGGACCGAGAAGCATTCCCACACTAACAAAGAGGTGAATTTACACCTTGACAGTGATAGGAGAGCAGCCTGACTGTCAGAACAGATGCGGATAGTCGTATTTTGATATCCTTTGTCTATGCATAACTTGCAGCACAAGATAATGGCATAGACCTCAGCCTGAAAAACGGTGGCATAATTTCCCAGGGGAAAGTGAAGTTTGGTACCATCATTGGAGCAGTAAATTCCTGCTCCTGATTTGNTCAACGGTAATATTGGATTAAAATCACGTCAAAGTTAAAACACAGTAAAATAGTATTAAAGTAAGAATATCCTTCTAAAAATGAATAAATTCATGAACAGAATAAACTTATATACAATTTAAAATGCCAATAGCACGTAAAAATGCAAAAATGTTAGGATGATAAGAGTCACCTAACAAATCTGCCATAGATAAAATAGAACCACCAAAAAAGGCAAGACGATGTCTGTTAAAATACGGGAAAGTGATTAAAATATGGTGAATCGAAAGTAAAACATCACAAGTGTTACATTGAGGAGGTGGTTCACCAAACAACAAATGTAGATGGGTCAGTCTGGTGTGTCCGATTCGCAGACGGGTAAGCTTAACATCTGCACTACGTAGTCGCAACACAGGGAAGGGTTCCAAATTTGACTTATGCAGTCATCGCTGGGATTCTAATCTGGTTCACCTCATTGGAAGGCCTATTCCCTGAGTTACCACAGCTATGCTGCTTTTATTGTGGAAAAAGTGTAGATTGCAAACTTGTAGAAAGAGATTATTTTCAGTATATGTATCATATTATTATGTGTATCATCATTTTTTACTAATGTGTACATTATCACAAAAACCAATAAAATTTCTTTTATGTTGATATTGAAAAGCTGAATTAAACTTGACTTGAGCAGAAATGAAGGGCAAGTGAACAGTTCAAAAAGTGAAAGGTTCAAAATTAACGGTTAATTGTTTGCCTGCGACCACTAAAATTTGACTTGGACTGCTATAAAACAAATTATCAGCAGTTTTCAGGAACAGCAATCAATATATATAAAGTGTTAGTTTGTTGTCGTTTTTTTTTTTTTCCTGCTTCACATTTTGGTCTATGTTTTTGTCACAATATTATCATATTTGGGTACTTGCAAACAATCACATAGTTATGAAAGTTAAAGATAGGCACAGATTTATTATCATGCTGAATCAATTTTCAGATCAGATTCTAATTGGATACTTGCAAGTGATTTTATGAATGTGTGTCGTATCTGATTGGCAGGCGTCGCTTGCAGGTATCTAATTCTGAATTTTACACATTCACATTGTAATTTTTCCATTAAATTCATTTTATTAACTTTATTTAAAAAAATTTTAATACAGTTCAATAAATGAAACCCTGAAAATGCATACAAACTAGCAATAACTTTTGGGTCACTGGTCCTGAGGACAGATGGTTAAATTTCTTAATTTCATCTTTTGGTTCATAGAAACAAGCTTGTTTGAAATAGAGACGAACAACCTTGTTTGAAATAAAGATATTTTTTTAGAACTCAGACACACAAAAAAAAATTATTTAATTGTAAATTTAATTATATCAGCGCAGAATTTTGATCTTAGAAGGGACTGAATTCCTTTTTTTTTAAAATGTGAGGGGACTATAAAGCTCTCTCTGCCCCCCACCCCTATTTCCGCAGTCCCTGATTATGCTTAATTAACACAATCATTTCATTGATGGAGATTAGCCTGAATAATGTTAATCATTGATATAATAAATTTTTATTTTAACCCTGGTTTACAACAGGCAAGAAAAAAGCAAGAAAGTAGGAAAAGTGCTATACCACAAAATAAAAACAACACAATGTGTTTGAAAAACAATCAAGACTGTTTTGTGTACATAAAATTTATCAACAAATTATATATTTTTTTAAAATTTACTGTAGCAATATTGAAGAAGTTACAAATTAATTACTATATAATAATGACATACAAATCACTTTTGTTGGTTAGCAAACACCTCATAGCAACTTTTAAAATTAGACAGCAATTTAAAAAAAAATTGTAATGAAAATAGATAAATTTCAAAATTGTTGATACGATTTCTTTCCTTACCCTTTTCATGATTTCCAGGCCATCTTCATGAGCATCTCTGCAGTGTATAACTAATGGCAACTTTCTTTTCAAAGCTATTTTCAACTGCCTTATAAAAACTTTCTCTTGTATATCTTTTGAACAATCATTCCTACCATGTAAGATATTATTTATTAATAAACATTATAATCAAACAAACTACTTTGAAATAGTAAATTCCCTGTAAATTGAATATTGCTACAACCTTTAAAGCAAAAAAGCGTTCAAAACTATGATATACACAGAACAATTTATGTTTGGTGCAGACTTGCATCCACTTCCCTGCAGAAATTTTTTTGTCTAAGTTGCATTGTAAGTTTCATATGCTGTTGTCAATTTTTGTTTATGTAGGCATTTATACATATTTCGATAATTAACTAATTAAGGNTATATATATAAAATTTGATCTAATATACAAATGGTGGGCATATTGTAAGCAATAATGAATATTTACTTTTTTGAATATCTAATATGATTGCTAAATTTTACAAAAACATTTATTACAGGATCATCATCACGAAGTTCACATTTAAAAAATTTATAAAATAGACTTGCTTTCTTGAATAATCCAGCCCAATTTCTCCCAAGGCACAGACTTTGGGGTGATCTAATGCTCTCATTATAGATTCTTCAACTTCATCATTGTAATTCTTTGAATAGTGAGGATGACAACCAAATGATGCCCACACATTTTCTTCTGCAAGAAGATCTTGCCAAAAACGTTTCTAAAATTCAAGTCCTCGTTTAAAATAGATAAACCAAATCATTAAATTCATTATACTAATTCAAAATATATAAATTAAATCGTTGAATTTTAAAATATACTGATTTAAAATATATAATACTCATCATTAAATTTACACTCAATTAAAATAATTCAAATATATTTAAACATACATTTACATTTAAAATGAAATCAGCAGTCATAAAAAAATTATAAACCATTTAAGAATACAAAATATATGCAACTAAATTCTAAATAGACCGCACTGAATACACAATCAGATTTGGCTATAGTGAACTGCTTGCGATCTTAACAATAAGTCCACTGTAAACAATGGTTCACTATATCCAAAACCATTGAAAAATATTTTTTAGCATATTGTAATAGCATTGTTGAAAATAGTTATTGCAATAGTACGTAATTTATAGCTAACTTCTTACTGTGACAAAAATTTTAATTGAAATGTTAAATAACATTAATACATATAATAATAAAACAATAAATCAATATGATACGAAATGGGGCTCGCCAATGAGCCATCCAGTTCAATCCATTGCCTGCCACATAAGTGATTACAGAATTATTGTGAGTGATTACAATGCCCTTTTCTGGTCAGGCGGAAATTCGTAACAACATATAAAAGTGGTTTTCATCCAATATTAAATTTTTAAAATGTTTATTACAATTTTTGTCATTTTTAGAATTCGTTAATTTACATCTTTCTTGTAGAAAGTTCTAATTAAAAGTTGAAATTTCTATGCAACCAATTCCTTTTTCTCCGGTATCTGTTTTTAGAACTACTCGCATGATTCAATCCAGCGACAATATTTTTCAATTATGTATATTACTCCATTTTTAATTAAAAGTTAAAATTAATATACTTTTTAACATATCACATTTACTAAACTTTTATACCATTTATTTAAATACCTGTAATAAGGAATTTAAGTCCACTATATATGAATTACCGATTTCTCAGTTCTTCAACAGAAGTATAAGAAATAACATTAAACAGGAGTTTAAAAGGGTCAAATGAAAATTTTCACTATAACTCTCATTTACTATAGATGGGTTGTCATCAGTAACGAAAAGACATTTTCAGCAGAAACATTAAAGGCAGGCAATAAAATCTTTAAGTAACAATGCAATAAAATCTTTAAGTAATGTATTATTTTTATACTTAAAAAATTTATTAAAAAAACACTATGAGTGACATGGAAAAATTCTCTTTGGTCCATAAAACCTTTTAAATATATTTCCAAAAACTAAGATACCAGAGCTATTAATTTTCAGAAAGCCTTCACCAATTTATTTTAAAGAGACTTCAGAAAGAATTACCGATTTAATTGTGAAAAACATGCATTTATATCTACTCTTTAATTTTAAAAAGTAGATATAAATACACGTTTTTCACAATCCCAGAGTTCAAATATTAGTCTCAACCCCAAATACTTTTATTTTTAAGAAACGCTTTATAAAATTTAAAAACATGAAAAAGTCACAATTCTTACTTTTAATAAATGTAGGAAAATAAAGGCTTCTGTCTAAGGTTAAATACTAAATAAATACTTATATCTAAAGAAATAATGCAATAATTATTTTTTCCAATTTAAAAATGATGTTTTGTTTTGAGGGTTTTTTAATATTAATAATATTATAATCTTATCAGTAAAGTCCAACCTAAAATTTTATTACCTGTATTCCTGATAGCACAAATTTATGAAGATCAGTATTATATACTAAATCTTTAAACTTTATATTGTCCCTAACTCCCTAAACTTTTTATTGTCATGGACCAGTCAACGTTGGATAATTTTACCATGGGACACTCAGACGGTGATTGTTCATATTTTAGATGGCTTTCTTTGATTTAATAATTTTAATTAAATACAACTTCAAAACAAAATACAGTGACATGCCCGGTTTCGGTGTAGATTTAGGTGACCTTGCTCAGCTCCCAGTTAACCTCTCATCCATAGTAAATCCCACAAAACCAAGAAAAATACACCAAAGAAAATTAAATGGAACTAATTTAATGTTTCTTGGGCAGTCCAAGGGTCGGGGAAAAGTGTATGAAATAAATATGACATTTAAACTTGCATAAAAAATATAATTTAAAAAAAACTCTTCAATTATCTAAAATTAGTTTAAAATTAAGGATGATAAAGCAAAAACATAGAGACAAACTTTCTTCATTTCAGAAAAACACTACTTACCCTTTTGATGAAAGTGGGCGGATTGCAAAATATTGCTATGCATCCCTTAAAACAAACTGGAAATGAGTCTTTATTCTGTTTCTGATAATCCTTAAAAGAACCATCATAAGACAGCCTACCAAAAAGAAAGTCAAGATGGCAATGAGAATCTATAAAGCCTACGTCAGACTGAAAGGTTAAAAGATCTGATGGATTGTAATAAGGCAACTCAGATTTGAATCTTTTATGTCTGCGATATGAGTCAGTTGGACTGTATGGTGTTTGATCAGTTGCACAAGATCTATAAGTAGATCGAGGAGAGTACTTATCATGATAAGAGTGCCTTCTTGAACTATCAGAAGAATTTAAAGCGCGTTTAGGAGTGTCTAATTGAAAGCTGGAGCTATGTCCAGCTGAATGAAATGTAGAGTAGTTGCAACTGGGGGAAAAATCTTCTCTAGTTTTAGCTGGCAAGCTTCTTCTTCCTCTAATAATCGGTGAATCAGAAGAGGTAAAACTGCAAGATATTAAAAGGAAAAACTTAATGGAGTTCTATATACCTAAAATTTAATTTTTATACAGTTTGGTTTTAACATATTGAGAGTACAAATTAGTTCAGTCCGTTTTTTTTGTAATCAAAAATGCATTTATTTCAGAACAAGCATTTATTCAGCAACAATATATTTATTTGGTCCCCAAAATATTATTGTAGCAAGGTTTTACTGTATTTTATTGCTCTTATGCAAAAATATATTTATAAAATAATTCATGCTAGTAAATTTAAAATTGAGTTATAATGTTCTTAAACAATTTTAAAATACACACCAACTCTATGTTTTGACAGTTTTTTAAAATTATTTTTAAAAAATGTAATTACAGGACAAATTAAGACAAAAGTTTCTTTGTTTTTTAATCTCATTAAACAGTATGTTATGCTTGGACCAATTAAATGCAGAAATGGGAATAAGGTGCTTTTTTGGTATTTGTGTAAACAATTTTTTATTACATGGATAATTTCAAAATGCAATGCTTTAATGTAAAAGAGCATAAATTAAAAATATTGAAAAGTATTCGAAGTTCTTTTAAAATATTACCAATGAATATTATTTTATTAAATGATGTATTATTAATAAGTATTATTATTCTTAAAGCTTCTGTATGTTAAATTTATTCTTTATTTGTTGTTAAATCATTTGTATTAAAACATAGCTTCACTTCACTACATGATGTGCATATATGTATGCAGCTCATTTGAAATTTTTAGTCCTTATCATCATTCCATTATTTTTAAATATTTTTAATATAAAAATATATGATCTTACATTTTACAAGGTCCTTAAGTGAAAAGAAAAAAATTTATATTTATTCAATGGAGAAAAAAAATTTAAACTTAATATTTTTGGCAATAAATTGATGACAATAACAAATAACTAATTAACACGTTCGCTGCCACCGATGCACTGGCGCGTCAGAGGGGCATCTCCTGGTATGCCGACGACACTCTTGTGCGTCGATCGACTATGATAAATTATATGCTCTGTGTTTAGTGTGGCTTTGGGAATTGAACGGAGAGGTTGTTTCGGCACGTTAGTGAAGCATTATTTTTTTATTTTTTGTGGTTGGTTTTCAAAACTTTTGCTCGAATTTTTTTATGTGCGTGACTGCCAATATCTGTATATTGTGCTTATTATTTGTAAATATTTTAGGTATTGTTTCATAAATGGTACTACATATACTTGAATGCTATTCCGTTTTATTCCTTTTAAGCTGCTATTTCATGCTATATGCATGTTCAAAAGTTAACATTCAAAACTTTTAATTATTCTTTTTTTATCATGCAAGCCTGTTTTTGGAAGAAAAAATGATATTTTTCAAGTGTTAATTGACAATATTAATTAACAGTCAAAAAAATTTTTTCACTATAATACTTTATAATAACTTAAATACTTTTAATTTATAGAATAAAGTTTTTTTTAAATTTTCATTAAATAAAATAGATAACTAGTTTAAAATTAATTTTTTTAAATTTATTTATATTAAATTTTTTGAAGAAAAAAACTTTTTTTTTCAACCATGATTGAAATAAGAAACAATTAAGAAGATTTAAATAAATTTTAGCAACAAAAAAAAATTTAAATTATAAAAATCTATGTAAAACTAGTTTCATACACTAAAAAAAGTAGTTATAAATATAACATTTGCACGTAAAACAGTAAATATAAATTTACTTGTATGACTTGTGATTATCTGTTGATCTTTGAAACAAATGTTTGTTGTCATTTTCAGAATCTTCTTCAATCAAAGAATGACTTCTCTTTAATGAAGGAGGTGGAACCATTTTATAGAATGAAAGAGGTTGAGGTAGAAGAGTTTCTCCAGGGGGAAGAAGTTGTGGAGAAGGAACTGACGATAAAGACCTACAAGAAAAACAAATCATAGTATAATAAATACAAACAAACGAATTAGGACTCTTATAAATAAAATATGTATATTGGTTCATTGAATTCCAATTAAGAGTTATATTTAAATTTAGTAGAGTAACTTATCATGTAAAATAATCTAATACTTGTAATTATTCATTAGTCAGAATTATAATTTAAATTTTTAAATTTAGTAACAAAAGTTGATTGAGATTTCCTAAACATCACATTAATACTTTTTTTTCTCACTTGTTGCAAATAATGCAAACCTTAAACTTATAAAAATGAATGTTTAACTGCCGTCTATAATCTTCTAAATCATACAGATAGTTTGAAGCACAAGAAATGTCACTGTTCAACATTATAACATTCTACTCTGAATTGTTCCAATAGAAGGTGTGAAAAACGAATTTTTGAATAAAATTTAACATACATTTTTACAAATTAAATGGAATATAATCATTTTATTTAAAAGATAATATCCATGGCTTTTGATAGCTAAGAGTTCTATTTACTCCAAAATGAGTTTTACTAAGGGTTAAACTTGAAAACTAAAAAAAACTTATCAGTAAATAATATGCAAGGTACAAAGTCTGAGCATAAGAGTGTAAAATGGCAGGAAAAAAGAAGATGGATGAAATTAAAAAATAATTTAAGAAGTAATAATTTAAGGCATAAAAAATAATAAAAAAGCTTTTTTTTGAATGTGACAAATTTAACCGTAAAATTCACATCCAATAGCATAACATAACCTAAACAAACATTACTTTTGTTAATAAGTTATTTGGTGGATTAAAACATCAAAAATAATTTATGTAAAAAATTACTATAATAATTAATTATGAATAGGAAATGAAATTCCCAGATATGATATTCTGCAGGATGTAATTCCTGTAATCTATCTACCACATTTTAATTAGTTGCATGACATTTTACTGTTTTTACACTTTACATATTAACATTCAAAATTCAAACACCCTACATTTCACACCCTAACTAAATTTAACACTATAATTTTTAATTCAAAATTTTTTCTACATTTCGCACAATAGAATATTGATATAGTACTACTAATTTATTAACAACCAGCATATATCCTCTTTTTTTAAAAAAAATAAATAAAAATTACTCAGGATAGAAGAATTTTAGCAACATAAAGGTTTATTGAAAATAGATTAATCACTATGCTTATCTAAGTTTTATTTTATTAATTTTTCTTTTTGAAAAGAATATTTGAGAGTAACTCTAACATACACAAAATATTAAAAAAAATTATCAATAAACATAAGAAAAACCCTAAGTAGAAACAAGAGTAACCGAAAATTTTTTAACACAATTGTTTACAACCCTTATCATAGTATGTCAGAATGCATTCAGACCACCAGTTGAGAGAGATATTAAAAAATAAACATCATGAAATCTTCATAAATTAACAAATTAGGATAATAGACATGAAACTGGCTGGTATTTAGAATGAGAGTTTTAAAATAAAGGCACACTTAAGAACAGTAAATAGATACTTGTCTAACGTAGAAAGGTTTGCAGATACGTCTCTGTTATCTTCTGTTTGGGGATAACCACAAATTAAATTACTTCTCTTTAAGGATGAAGTAGAAGAGTCTTCTATAGTTGGGGAATGGTGTCTTTTTAAAGAAGGAGTCGAAACATCTTCTTCAGTCCTGGAATGACTTCTTTTAGAGGAAGGAGTAGAGAAATCTTTAGAACTTGTATGAATTTCTTTTAACAATGAAGTAGAAATGTCTTCTTCAGTCCTGGAATGCCTTCGCTTAGAAGAAGGAGTGGAGGAGTCTTCAGACCACCTAGAATGACTTCTTCGCTTTGAGAAAGGAGTAGAGAAGTCTTTAGATCTGGAATGACTTTGCTTTAAAGATGAAGTAGAAATGTCTTCTTCAGTCCTAGAATGACTTCGCTTTAAGGAAGGAATAGAATATTCTTCATCAGTCATAGAATAACTCCTCTTTAAAGACTCAGAAACAAGAGGAATGGATGATACTGGATCACTGAAAGAATAAAAAATATATAAAGGAAACAGCAAGCAAACAAACTCCTTGTTAAANCTCCTAAATCATTCCGATAGTTTGAAGCACAAAAAATGTCACTGTTCAACATTATAACATTTTACTCTGAATTGTCCCAATGGAAGGTGTGGAAAACAAATTATCCAATAAAATTTAACATAGATTGTTGCAAATTAAATGGAAGATAATCTTTTTATTTAAAGATAATATCCATGGCTTTTGATAGCAAATAGATCTATTTAGTCCAAAATGAGTTTTACTAAGTGTTATTAACTTCAATTTAACTTGAAAACTGAAGAAAAAACTTGTCCACAAATAATATGCAAGATACAAAGTCTAAGCATGAGAGTGCAAAATGGCAAAAAAAAAGAAGATGGATGAAAGTAAAAAATAATTCAAGAAGTAATAGTTTAAGACATAAAAAATAATTAAAAAGATTTTTTGTATATGACAAATTTAACCGTAAAATTCACACCCAATGCATAACATAACCTTAACAAACATTACTTTTGTTAATAAGTTGTTTGGTGGTTTAAAATATCAAAAATAATTTATGTAAAAAATTACTATAATAATTAATTGTGAATAGGAAATGAAATTCCCACATATGATATTCTGAGTGATGTAATTCCTGTAATCTATCAACCAAATTTTAATTAATTGCATGACATTTTACTGTTTTTACTTTTATTCAAAATTTAAACACCCTACATTTCACACCCTAACCAAATTTAACACTATAATTTCTATTTCAACATTTCGCACAATAGAATATTGATATACTACTAATTCATTAACAACCAGCATATCTTTTTTTTTTAAAAAAATAAATAATAAAAAAAGTGTCTCAGGATAATAGAATTTCAGCAACATAAAAGTTTAATGAAAGTAGATTAATCACTATGCTTATCTAAGTTTTATTTTATTAATTTTTCTTTTCGAAAAAAATATTTGAGAGTAACTCTAACATACACAAAATAATAAAAAAATTATCAATAAACATAAGAAAAACCCTAAGTAGAAACAAGAGTAACCGAAAATTTTTTAACACAATTGTTTACAACCCTTATCATAGTATGTCAGAATGCATTCAGACCACCAGTTGAGAGAGATATTAAAAAATAAACATCATGAAATCTTCATAAATTAACAAATTAGGATAATAGACATGAAACTGGCTGGTATTTAGAATGAGAGTTTTAAAATAAAGGCACACTTAAGAACAGTAAATAGATACTTGTCTAACATAGAAAGGTTTGCAGACACGTCTATGATATCTTCTTTTTGGTGAGATCCACAAGTTAAATTACTTCGCTTTAAAGATGAAGTGGAAGAGTCTTCTATGGTTGGGGAATGGCGTATTTTTAAAGAAGGAGTCGAAACATCTTCTTCAGTCCTGGAATGACTTCGCTTTGAAGAAGGGGTAGAAAAATCTTTGGTACTGGAATCAATTTCTTTTAAAAATGAAGTAGAAATGTCTTCTTCAGTCCTGGAATGCCTTCGCTTTGAAGAAGGAGTGGAGGAGTCTTCAGACCACCTAGAATGACTTCTTCGCTTTGAGGAAGGGGTAGAGAAGTCTTTAGATCTGGAATGACTTTGCTTTAAAGATGAAGTAGAAATGTCTTCTTCAGTCCTAGAATGACTTCGCTTTAAGGAAGGAATAGAATATTCTTCATCAGTCATAGAATAACTCCTCTTTAAAGACTCAGAAACAAGAGGAATGGATGATACTGGATCACTGAAAGAATAAAAAATATATAAAGGAAACAGCAAGCAAACAAACTCCTTGTTAAATATTTAAAAAAAAAAAAGGTTAGAAAAAATAATAACTCTTGTGAATTTATGTATTTGTGAAAATATTTTCTGGCTTACTTGATTTGCAAAAACTTAGTCTGAAATTCACGCCATTGTTTGATTTTTTTTTCAACAGTCTTCGTAGTTATTTATCATTCTCAAAACAATGGTAATAATGATATATAACATATTGATATACATGGTAATGCTACAACTGGTGAGGTATGAGTAACAAGTTATTGATAAGCTGAATTTGAGACAATTTCATTAAAATCTAGGTGTTTTTTTTTCTCCCTACAATTTTTTGAGGCAGTTATTGCTAAGAATTTTAACCAAACTATTTAAACATAATTTAAAGAATTTCTTTTGTTTTAAAATTTTATTCTGAATTAATTCTAAGATAACCTTTACATGTTAATAATTTTTCTCACCTAAATCAGGAGAATAGTTTTTCTCATAATGAAGATAAGCTTTATAGTTAGTTCTATTAACATTAAATCAATGTCAAAATTAATATAGTCTCGAAGATTAGCTATATTCTCTTAGTTATAATATTGTAAGTCATTTTAAACTAAATCTTAGTTTGTTTTTATTGTTTAAAAATATTAACTAAATGATTATACACCTTTAAAAGAAACATGTGAAAGGAATACTTGACTATCTGATTTATGTGCAATTTTTATCCCATCTACCATATAAATGTAGTTATTTTTAATAATTGTGAGTTATTATCAATAATAACTAGGCTAAACAAAATAATTATCTAACATATGTGTGAACTATTATTTCATGCACTAATGTTTTTTTAATATTAAGAGCCATTGTCTCATACATTTCCAACACTGATATTTATCCATATATATTTTTAATCAGATACAATCAAAATCAAATTAAATACAAAAAATATTTTGGATATTCACCTAAACGACTAAGTGAATATAATAATCAAAGTTTATAAAATAATAAAATGTCAAAAAAAATAAGAGGCGCATAAGAAAGTTAAGAAACTGAACTTAACAGCTTTGTAAGTTGGAGGTAGAAAAGTTTCTTAATGAAATAAAGCCAACTCTGACTATATTTCTTGGGGATTGAAATTAAAGGAAAGAACAAAACATTCATGACAAGCTCCCAGAAAAAGTGATACTTCATCTCCATTATACAGCAAGGTAGAGGCTCATTAATTGTGTGTGAAGGTGGCAGCTATAGTGGTCAACTTAATTCGGCATATCCTCCATGGTGCCAATTAGCAAAGAATACCAGAAACCCATTTATTACTTTTTGTAGAGAAAATTGAAGGTCCAAGCAATATTTTCCAAGCAGGATAATACCTCAATTTATGTCCAAAACTTTTCATATTGGTAGTGCTTATCAATTTTGGTAGTACCTAAATTGCTTAACATGAATGACATGTCCTTTCCCTTGACCGCAATTCTTAAGAAAAATGGAAGGCTAGCTTCAGTAGGGGTGTATATACCAAAAAGGGTCAGTTTCAATCTGTGACAGAATTGAACATGTTACCTTAACCAGGGAACTTTATGCAGGGAAGAAAAAAAATTTTAATCAAATTTTTTATATTAAGAAATGAATATCACAGTCCACCATAAGAAAAAAAAATTCAGATGAAACATTAGGTTAAAAAAAAATACTTAGTATCAGTTAACGGCACATGCTTGAAAACATGTGAGGATTCTGAAAAACAGGATGCTTTTGATGCTTGTAGAGAATTATCATCGGAGCTCCAATGAGATGACTCTTCACAATCAGAAATGCTTGAATATTCATTTGATACTAAACTTTTTCTTTTTCTAAAAAAATAATAAAACGTTCTAGAAAAATAACTTTAACATAAAAATTGAGCATCTTTTAAAAAAAAGTACATTTCTGCTTTATAACAAAGCAAAACATATATTAAGGTTGCTTAAGCTCCAATTACAGTCATTTACTATGAACATATCTTAGTGATGAATTTTCAATAAGATTTCAAAAGATACTTTTTAAAATCCCTTTTGTTCACAAAGAAAAAAAATCTATTTCTAAAGCTTTTCCTTAATATTAAGAATATATGACTATTTCATAGGCATAAATCTAATGATGTGTAAAGAGTAATAAATTTTTTATTTTAATTATGACAGCAAACACACATTCAAGATTTAAAGAAAACTTACCTGTTCAACATTTATTAAAAATTCTTATCTTATAAAACTTGAAAATTATTTATGAACTTGTTTCTTGGAAAATATTTTCCGACAGATTTTATCAGATAATTAAAAATAAATAAATATATTTGACTCCTTCATTGGCAGTCTTTTTCTTTCCAAATTGAAATGAAAAAAAANAAAAAAAAAAAAAAAAAAAAAAAAAAAAAAAAAAAAAAAAAACTTTTTTTCAATGATGGCTAAAGAATCCATGATATCAACTAAAATAGAAAACCAACAAATTTCACTTACTTTTAATTTAATAAACGTTTTGAAAGGATGATTACCTAGAGTTCTCCAGAGCTCCTTTTTCTTGGTGTTTCCTTTCGTATTGTTTCTTTTGATCGTTGATGGACAGATTTTGTGAAGATGAATGTATATTTTTATCATAAGCCTTTAAATTAGTTTCAGATAAATTTTCAGCATGCTCTTGGGTATGTTCACCAAATGAAGCAGAACTATTCCTGCAAAAATTTATAAAAAGCAGTAAAAATTAACATAATGGTGATTGCAATCTTTGGGTTACATACTCAGAAAATATCACAACTGCACAACATATTTCTCAATTATAGCAGGCCACATCATTACCTGAAAATGAACTTTACAAAAACACTCACTGTAAAAAGAAGGGGAAACAATTTCTACAAGACATCAAGATAGGTTATTATAGGTTGAGATAGGTTATACAGGGTGTGTAGCCAAATCTTTCAACAAAAAATAAGCACCTTTTAACCACTCAAAAAATATTTTTAAGTACTATGTACATTAACAAAATGCAAAATAAGTTTCAAAGACTCTACATGATCATGACAAAATAACTAGAATTTTACAAAGAACTCTTCTTGATTATATTAGCCATCAAAAAATGATCAAGAGATTTTTCAGTTCAATTTCAGAGGGTGGAATATGAAGCTTGAAATTAAGAATATCTTGCAAAATGCAGCAGAGTTGCACATGAGAATGCAAGAATCTCACCGAACTCAGCTCACTAGACACACATGCGGTCTCGCAAGTATTTCACCAAACCTGTAAAGTGATTGTCGCTTTCATACGCTATGGACTGGCGGTTCGCTGAAATTGATTGTGGTTGAATGAAATCTGAAAACGCTAATAGAAAAAGCACGTTTTTACATAATACGTGGTAAAAATCAATATTACCTTTCATAAATCTCATTTTAGAAAAGGGAAAATTAAGCACCTTTTAAAAACACCCAATAAAAAAGCACCCTTAAGGGTTTTTAAAAAACAAAAATTGATAATAAGTACCTTTAAGCACTTTTTAAAAACGCCATGCACCATGTTATACTCTAACATTATTTGATATGTTTTTTTAATAAAATTTCACACCTGTTGGGGCATGTTAACTTTTTACCAATAAACTAAATTTATTCATTAATAAGTAATATCAACAAAAAAGGGCTAATTCTTCAATGTGTGCTTTCTTTAAAAAATCATTCGATGTTAAAATAAAAGCTCGCACAAAACTGATGCAAAATATGGAGAGAGAAATTAACGCAAAAGCATAAAGGACTTAACCTACTGTTCAGACTCTGATGATAAACTAGCTGCTTTGAAGCAGGGCATTAAACTGTGTGAATCTGTATCCCTTTGTTCCTCCACTTGAGTTGGGCTTTTAGATGTAGAATCAGCTTGCTCCCTAAAAATGAATAAAGACTATAAAACAGTTTACTGTACATTTTTTACAACTTTTATATCAAAATAATTATTATTAATGATATTTTAATGGAAATTAATGATATACTAACAGATCAGTATCAGACAAACAAATAACTTCAATTGGTTCTTTGATGTTAGATAATACATAACTACCAAAATCTTTTTTAGCTTCAACTGGCGAACTGGGCAAAGAACTATCCTCATCCCTAAAAAAAAGTTGAATACACAAAATAAAACAAATGAGAAATAATAATTTTATTTATCTAACAAGTCTCACTTCAGACATTTTATTTTAATAATATTACATCTCTGATAGTGTTTGTATGGTTCAAAAACTGTGCATTTTGCAAACTTTAAACATTTTAATAATTAATACACAACAGACAACCTAAAACTTTGTGACAAAATCTAATCACAGAGGCATGTTAACATACTATATTGCGAAAAAGCAGACCTTTAACAAGACTTTTGAATTATTCACAAGTTATTAATTCTAGAGTAACAAAGGAAATGTTGCCTAGCACTTTCTGTTGTAACATTAAAATGTAAAATGAAACATCTAATTTATATTCCAACAATAATGATTTAAATCAATAATTGAAAGAGCTTTAATATATATTTAGTTCATAAAAACTATCGATCCAAGTTCATAAAAGTACAAGAAAACTTTCTTAATACAAGTGTTCATAATAAATTTAATTACTGCTCACGATTGATTCATAAATTATTTTGCTAAAAAACTGAGTTTTTCTATTAAGTCCCATAATGTTAATAAAGAAATGACATCATTTACAAATGGAAAATAGGAAAAGAAAATATAATATAGATAAAACCATAAGAAGAAAAAAACGTAAATTAAATTTTTCTGTAGTATACAAAATGAATAATACTACAATCAAAACTATTCATGTTACAGAAAGTTTATACTAGTTGGTGATCCTGTTTATTTTTTCATAAAAATATAAATTAGCTGTGCACTAACAACTCTGACACTAATAAATTACTTCATCCTCATTGGGGTCATAATTAATATTTAATTTATTAGATTTGAAAGGTAAATTAATTTACCACTTTTTTTGGGCAACTGGACAAACAATTCAACTGATTATTCAAATAATTGTATTCATAAAAAAATAACATACCTTTCCATATGACAAATTATTACAACTTTTTAATTTACAATATTTTGCAGCACATAATTTTATATAGCACAAAACAAACTTTAAGGCTTATGTTCTGTTAATTAAACTGAAATGAAAGTGCATCAGTAAAATTTCCCAAAATTTAATTATCGCAGCACGTCTATCTCCCGCAATTCGTCTGGAACAGTGACAATTACGAGATTTAACTATTCAGACATGTGATTGGTAGAAGAAATTATCTAAAAAAAATATTTTTCAGTGTATAGTTTATTTTTTAGTCATAGAAAATATTTAAAAAACTGTCATATTTATGTACTAAAGTAAAATTTACAAAATATCTATGTATTGAAAAAAATTATATATTCCTCTCTTTCCGCAGTCTGATAATCACCACCGCAATAAGAAAATTTCAAAAAGAATTTTCAAAAACGGTGAAATTTATGGCAATTACTGAAAAAAGACTGATGATAAAATTGTGTGAATTTAAGACGAAATTACACGAATCGAGTTGTAAAAAAAAAAAAAAAGGTTAACAATATGTATGTTTTGAGATTCAAGTGTTGAAACAAATAAAATCGCACTAAAAATATAAAGATTTTAAAAAATATGCAAAAATTAGAAGCAGTAACTGCTGGAAAATTAATAGAATTATTGAGCTAAATAGTGAATACTCAGGTGCACAATTTGAATTTTTCGTATCATAATAAAAATATTGAGATTTAAAAAAATCATGTGAAAATCAACAGTTGCCAAGGAAAAAAAATCTGATCAACACGCCGCACGAATTTAGTGCAAATTGAGTGTATCAAAAAATATTTGCTAAAATGTGAATTCAAATTCCTTGTTTTTTTAAAAATAATCATTCGAAAATAAAGGGATTCAAAAAACCAAGAGGATATCAGTAGCAATAACTGTGAAAAAAGTCTATAAAAAAAACAGCAACATCATTGCGACAGAAAGCCGCTAATAAATGCACAAATTAAATTTTTTGCGTCGTTATAATAATATATAAAATATACATGATAAAAAATAAACAATAAAGGGATATAAAAAACACAGAAAATTCATAGCAATAATAGCCAATAAAACAATGGAATAACTGTATAGATTTAAAATGTCATAGATTCAAATTGAGCATATCAAAAAGTGGTTATTCAAATTTGTGTGGCGTAATGATGTTTTAAATATTCAAAAACCATAATAAAATCAATTGCATTAATTGCAATTGGAAAAAAAAAGATCAAACACAGATTTAAGACAATATCGAGCAAATTGAAAAGTAATTACTGAATGCACCATTTGAAATTTCCATGTCATAATATCAGATTAAAAATTTATTTTCTTTAATTATGGCCAAATAAAAAAAGAGGCAAATATATCACATAGATTAAATAATTCTTGTTACAAATAGGAATATGAAACATAATTGTAACTCATTTAAATTTAAGCTTTAAAAAAAATGAGAAAAAAAAACATCACTTTTTCTAACGAACTATCTTTTAAATATTTACTGTTTTGAAATTAAATTTTTAGAATGCCTTTGTGTGTGGCTCAGCAGTTCCATAATTTTTGCCTAACTATTATGGAATTTTCCCCCAAAAGTTTAAATGAAGTTACGTTATTCTCTAAGTTGTAAAAAAAGTCATTATGCTTAGGAAGAAAATAAGAGAAAATGTTGGTAAGGCCAGAATATATGTCTCCTAAAAGAGATTTTGCATAAGTAACAAAATTTAAATTTTGAGTAGCGGAACTCTGAGAAAATTTTGTATTAATATAAATTATTGATTCGCAAAAATCCAGGAATTAACAATTTTGAGATTCGCAGAATTCCGTGAATTACATGCCTGCTATTTCAAGTAGGAATGTTGGGTCAATATTTAAGACATGCTTTGGTTTGGGTCAGCAGGAGAAAAAGAATCAGAGGAGAAATAAGCTACCCTCTTTGAAATGCACTATCATTTTGTGTCCATAGCAGCGGATGGCGTTAGACTTTGCGAAGAGGGGAGTTCTTTCTACAGACAACCCATAAATTTACCGTACATATATAAAGTTAAAATAAATATGGCGATATATTCACAGCTCAGAATCTGATAAATCAATTCCTTTGAGCAAACTATTATTTGAACATTTTCTAGCTTTAATTGCTCTAAACCAATAATTCCATGCATCAAGCAGAATATAATAATAATTTAGCACTTTGAATAATCAATAAATATTATTTAATCAAAGCTATTTTGATAAAATAACAAATAACTTAATAAGACACAAAATAAATTTTAAAACAATTTTGAAGTAGACGTTCTAGTGAAACGACAACTAAAAAATTCAAACAAAAGTTTATTGCTATTACGTGTGAACTAATATCTCTTGACAGAATCTTTCCAAGATGAAATAATTATAACTCACTGATGATATTCTAGATTAAAATAAATGATATACTAACGACTCAGAATCTGATAAATGAATACTCTTGACTGCTCCTTTCAGCAAATTATTATCTAAATCCTTTTTGGCTTTAGCTGAAGAACTGGGCAAAGAAATAGCGCTTTCCCTAAAACAGTAATTGTATGCATTAAAATAAATATTTTTAATAACCAACATACATTCTTCGGAGAAAAATATCTTTCCCAATATAGTTACACAGTTTTAATATTATACAAAACAAACTTTATAACTATTTTGAAGCTACTTTAGGAAAATGATACACAAAAATTTCCAATCACAGGTCAATTTACTTTCAATTCTAGTTAGTGTTGTAATAATTATGTCACTTATGAACAAGATAAGAAAAAAATTAATTTACTTCTTAAAATAGTATTAGTATGCATTAAACAAGTATCAAATCAAGTTGATCTTTTTAATTCAATCTTCCAATTTCTAATTTTCCACCATATCAAAATTTTCTTTGTAATTATACATTTTTCCTTTTTTATTTTTTTAGTAAATAAGTATAATACAAATTTGTGACAGTAAATTTGCTTAGATTGCCAGTATTCTGCTGTATACATTCATAAAATTTTAAAATAAATTTATTATATACTAACATCTCAGGTTCCAATAAATGACTTGGTTTGGTTGTGAGCTTAGGTGGTACAATGTCTGATTCTTTTTTTACTTCAGCTGGCCAATTTGACAGAAAATCAGCCTGTTCCCTGAAATAATTATAAGAATTAAATAAAACAAATAATTAACAATTAGCAACTTATCCTAATTAGCTATACTAAATCTTTTATTTCTTTATAAAACTTAATTGAGACAATTTATATATAAGTTGAAAATATACTAACAATTCATAATCTGATAAATGACTTCCTTCTATTGGTTCCTTAAAGTAAGATAGTAAACTAAAACTAAATGCACTGGAGGGTTTATGATTCTTCATTACAAGTGAACCATCAGATGCACAATTAGTCTGCTCCCTGAGATAAAAATTATGAACGCAAGTTATAAAAATTATTAATGAAATAATTACAATAACCATTAAAACAAATTTTAAAATCTAAAAGGTAAATATAAATCTTAAACTCATTTTACGTAACTTACCAGTAACCTCCCTTTCATATTGAGGAAGATTTGTTTAACCAGGGTGCATAACCAAATTAATCAACAAAAAATAAGCACCTTTGAAGCACTCAAATAATATTTTAAAGCACTTTTTAAAAAATCAGAATTAGGTAGGATTGGAAAGTTTTTGACAATGGACGGTTTTATCTGTCATGTCAAAAAAAAAAAAACACTTTTGGCATTGTTTTTGACAATTGTCAAAATTCGTGTAAATTAAATGGCGTTTTCATACGCTACGGACTGACGATAAGGCGAAAGAGATTGGCAGTAGTCTGTTTAGAAGAAATTTGGGTCCGTTAACGGACCCTTCACAAAATATATTTTCATAAAAACGGACCCTTCACAAAATGATTTTTCTTTTAATTGGACCCTTCACAAATTTGTTTATCTTCATCATTATTTTGTTAATCGAATAAACCCTTTCCAGGGCAGAAAACAAGAAAGATGGATGTAAACGAATTAAGTTTTGTCTTTGGCCGACGATTCTTCCATTATTCGTC